TTCTGGAAATTAAAATATGGCTATTCTTTCTAAGGGACTGAAGTAAGCATGATTTCTTTATACATCACTTTAAAAACATATCTTCCTTAATTTTACATGTTACTTTAATTTGTAATTTTTAAAAATTTATTATTTTTTATTTGTATGTATGTATTGCCTGCATGTAGGTAAGTGCACCCGTATTGTGCAATGCCCACGGAGGTCAGAAGAGGCTGTCAAATCCCCTGGGACTGGAGTTATGGATAGTTGTTAGCTGCCATGTGGGTGCTGGGATTTGAAACCAGGTCTTCTGCAAGAATAGTGTTTTTAACTGCTGAGCCATCTCTCCATCCCCTTGAATTTTTATTATATTTATTTGTGTGTATATGTGTGTAATACAAAGTATGTGTAAAGGTCAGAGGACAACTTGAGGGAATTTGTGTCTTTCACCATGTAGGTCTAAAGGATCAAACAGGCTGTCAGGCTTGAAGGGCCTTTACCTGCTGAGCCATCTCATTGACCCTTAGTTTTCCTATTTTTTGTTTCTAAAGCAGGGTCTCTGGTATATAGCCCAAGCTTGCCTGAAACTCTACTTCCCAAGTGATGGGGCTATAGGCATGCACTACCACTCCAGGCTTCTAATGGGTATATTTTTTTTAATGCTGTGTAGACTAGGCAGGCCTCAAAGTCACAGAGATTGCCCTGCCTCTGCCTCTGGAGTGCCAGAATTAAAGGCATGCACCCCATGACCTGCATTTTGTTTGTTTTGCTAATGGGCTTTTTATATTGTTTGAAGCCATTTGTTTGTGCAAACAAAGCAATAGGTAATTGGTAACATCTGTACTAGCCTTAATACATTTATGAAAGGAATTCATACCCATGTATAAGATGAATCCTAGCAGGATCAGTTATGAGCATTGCAGATTTTTTAAACTTTTTTTTTACTGTAAACTATAAAACACATCTTTTGTTTATAATTACTATGTAGTCTTAAATTTGAAAGATAGAGAAATGTAGAATTTTTTTTCTTTTTTTTTTTTTCTTTTTTTGGTCTTTTTGAGTTAGGGTCTCCCTGTAGCCCCAGCTGACCTGGAACTTGCTATGTAGACCATGCTGGCCTTGAACTCAGAGAGATCCACCTGCCTCTGCCTGCCCTCCCCGCCTCCCCCCGGTGCTGGGACTAAAGGTGTGTTACAATGGCCCTTCTGTTTCCTTTCATGTCCTTTACTCTTTAATATACTTCCTACCAGAGCAGTGTAGTGGGTAGTCACTGACTTTTGTCAAGTGTATATGTGTGTGCTTGATATATAACACATGAGTATCTTCCCTGAATAAAAATGTGGTCTTTCCCATTTGTGGAGCTCTTCCACAGAGGTTTGAATAGCTGTATTTCACTGCTTCCAGTAGCTGTGTAGATTTCATGTATGGGTATGCATCACTGGTCTGTTTCCCTCTGGCAGGTTAGGTAAGTAGTGTCTTCCCATGTTTTTACTTGTATAAACAATACTGCAGTGAAAGATCCTTGTAGTATGGCCTTTGCCACCTTAACCCAAATAGGAATGAGTATCAACTTCAGCAGTTAAGACTAGTTTGGCAAGATATTAGTAGATATTTCTGAAAAAAAGAAAAAAAGCACTATAATTGAAAAGCTTGGGAAATACTACATACTTTTCTAACGACTCACTATTTTCCTTGTGAAGTAAATGAGCTATATTTATTAAGCAAGACTTACCAAATACTTCTTTTGAATGGAGGTCTTTGTTGTGTTTTTGTTGTTTTTTAAGACAGGGATTCACAGTGTAGCCCAAGCTAGACTCAATTTGGCAGTCCTGCCTCAGTCTCCCAAAGTGCTGGGATTATAGGCAAGTCACCTTATTTTTTTCTTCCCAGATAGTTCCTTATCTATGAATAGTTACTGTTGCTTCAAGGTGGTATGATGATTCTTCACTTTCTCTTTAACTGTTCTAATATAGTAACAAGTGGCTTCCGGTAAGATTATGTCTGTAATCTAAATTGAACAGTGGAAATATCTTACTCTAGATTATATCGTGATTTGAACATCCAACTTTCTGTTTTTAAGTATTCTCTCTTTAATATTTAGTGTTCTATAACAAAGAAGTGTAATTATATATTACTCTACAGGGATACATTCTGAGAAATGTATAGTTAGATGATTTGGTCATTATACAGTGTACATTCAGCTCCAGAATCACTAGACTGTACCTTTTGTTGTTGTTGTTTTATTTTGAGACAGGGTCTCCCTGTAGTCCCAGCTGTCTTGAAACATACTATGTAGACCAGGCTGGCCTCAGTCTCACAGAGATCTGCCTGCCTCTGCCTCCCGCGTGCTGGGATTCAAACTGTACACACCACACCTAGAAAGGCTGTATGTTTTATGGGGCCAATATTTATTACTGATTGATTGATTATCTGGTCTTTTTGAGACAGGGTTTCCCTGTAGCCCCAGCCGGCCTGGAACTCACTATGTAGACCAGGCTGGCCTTGAACTCACAGAGATCCACCTGCCTCTGCCTCCCAAGTGCTGGGATTAAAGACATGCACCACCACACCCGGCTGGGACCGCTATTTTTTATATATATTAGCCTGTTGACTAAAATGTGGCTACTTAGTATGTATTAATGACTAGAAAATTACAGTAATTCCATAAATTTTAATCTGACATCTAGATCTTTTATTAAAACTCACATGGACTAAAGCAAAAACCCCAAATTTATCATGACTCAGGTGGAGACCAGAGGTTACCTCAGGGAATTTGAGCTTTGAGACCCTTTCCTGGACCATCACATCCTCTTCTCGAGATGGAATGAGAGGGAGAGAACTACTAAGCAGAGCTACTAACTGGTAGAATTGGCTACAAATCTGCAGATTTGTTTACCTTCCAAAAAAATGTGAAAGTAACTAGCAATTACTGTGAATATATTGTCAAAATCCACTATAACTTTTTATTGAAGTTAACAAGAAAACTGTTATTTCAAAACTTTAAATGGTAAATGAAAATTTTTGAAAAAGACAAGTAAGTTTAATTTAAAAATTAACATTCAGTTATTTGTAGGCATTGTTACATTGATTTAGCTGGTCTGAGACCCCCATATTTAAATAAATATTGGATTTTGCTTTTTAAATGTTTGTTTGTGTGTGTGTTTGAGATAGGGTGTCCCTATAGCCCAGGCTGACCTAGAACTCACTGTGTAGACCAAGCTGGCCTTGAACTCACAGAGATCTTCCTGCCTCTGCCTCCCAAATGTTGGGATTAAAGCTGTGTGCCACCACGCCCAGCTAGTTTTAGTTTTTGAAGTTTTTGCTAGATGGTACCCATGATTGCCCTAAAATTTGCAGATCTCCTTTCTTACCCTCCTGGATGCTGGGATTATAGGAATGTGCCACCACCCCTAGCAGAAAGATGACTTTATAAATAATTGTGTGTGTGTGTGTGTGTGTGTGTGTGTGTGTGTTTGCATGTGCATGCAAGTGCAGACCAGGGGTCAACAACCTTGGGTGTTCCTCAGGAGTTGTTCTTATATTTTGCAACAGGTTCTCTCACTGGGACCTGGATTGTCCTATTAGGTGAGGCTGGCTGGCCAGCAATCCTCAGGGATTTGCCTGTCTTTGCATCTTCAGGGCTGGGATCAAAGTGTGCTCCACTGCACTGGCTTTTTACTTGGCTGCTAAGGATCCAACTCAGTTCTTCATGATTGCACAGCAAACAGTTTACCAACTGACTGTCTCCCATATAAATATGTATTTTTAATTTTTACAAGAATAATATTTGTTTACAAGATATAGGCAAACATTGAAAATGTCATAAAACAAGGAAACGTAATTTATAAATAAAATAGCAACAAAAATACTAATCAGTTTTTCATAGAAAATGTGGAAAAGCTTATTTAAGCTGCTTCCTAAAATTTAAAAGGGAGGGATATGATCAAAACATATTATATGCATGTATGTGTGGGAAGCGAGCACAGCCGAGCCAGCCAAAAATGGAGCCCTGGCTGGCTGCCAAACCTCGTGCTGTTTACTTCAACTCTTGGCTGATTGCCAAGGCTCGTGAATCCCGCTTGTTTACCCCAACTCTGAAGTATGGTGAGCCCAAAAACAGGTGCTGCCAGCCTGATGATCTTGCTACGTGGCTAATGAGCTGCACTCTGCCTGCCTGCTGCACGTGTGTGAGCCCTGATTGGTCCTGGCTAGAGGGAGGGCTGTTGGAAACGCTATATGAACAGCTGAGGTGTGTAAAAGAAAAGAACAGAACTACAGCAACAACGAGACAGCATCATAGTGAGAGAGAATGAGATAAGTGAGAATGAAGTGAGAGAGAATGAAGTGAGAGAGAATGAAGTGAGAGATATAATAGAACAGAACAGAACAGAAGAGAACAGAACAGAATAGAACAGAACAGAAGCAGCATCATAGTGTATGAGATAATGAAAGAGAGAGAATAAAGGATGCAAGAGAAACAGAAGCTTGAACCTCACCTTGGTGTCTGTGTCATTTTTCCTCGGCTCTGCTGGACAGAGTCGTGGCTTACAACATGTATGAAAATATAAAGAAACTTACTACTTTGTACAGTTTAATGTTAGTGTATTTTTTTAATTTTTAAAAATTTTAATTGTATGAGTATATTGCCTACATGTATGTACATGCACCTGTGTCATGGAATGCCCACAGACATCAGAAGAGGGCACTGGATTTCCCAGAACTGGAGTTTAGTTATTAGCTGCCATGTGGGTGCTGGGAATTGAACCCAGGTCCTCTGCAAGAGCAGCCAGTGCTCTTAACCACCAAACCGTCTCTCCAGCCCCAATGTTAATAAATTTTTTAAACATCTAGAAAGCAAACAATTTCTTTTTCTATTTCTTTTTCTTTTTTTTTTTTAAGTTTTTTGAGACAGGGGCTTCCTGTAAGTCCCAGCTGGCCTGGAAATTTGGAAATCACTGTGTAGACCAGGCTAGCCTTGATCTTACAGAGATCTCTGTCTGCCTCTGCCTCCTAAGTGCTGGAATTAAAGGTGTGCACCACCACACCTGGCTCAATTTCTTAATATTATCAACATTAAGATAATCCTTTTCCTTTCTTTTTTTTCACTATAATCCAGCTTGCCCTGAGATTTAGAACAATGCTCCTGCCTTAGGTGTTGGGATTTACAGTATGAACCTCCACAACATCCAATGTACTTTTCAAAGTCTCTTTGCAATGCTGGGCATCAAACCCAGGGCCTCACGCATAATAAGCAAGTGCCCTGTCTCTTGGCCACATCTCCAGCTTCAAAAAATTTCTTGATTTTTTTAATAACTCTAATTCTTACTTCAACTGGTTTATCTTCAAAATATACTTGCTGGCAGAGAATAGGATCTTTTAAGAGTTCTTAAGCAGTTTGACTGTATTTGTGTTTGCTGAACTGAACAAATGCAGCCCACAGGGTCAAAGTCAAAAATTTGGATATTGGGATGTGCTGGATCATGCAAAACAGAGAGTTCTGAGGTTTTCTCCCAAGCATTTTTACGTGGGAAATTCTCTTTTGCAGGATTTTTTTCTTTATTCTCTCCTGAGGCAGTGTCTTTGTCTTCCAGTGCCCGAGCCAGCATGTAACTAACCTTTCTTTGATGAGCCAAAGCTTCTTCTTTATCATTCAGCTGTGTGCACAGAAGTTAAAAATGTACCCGTTAGTCGCAGAATGTATGCAGAGACAGGAAGGAGCACTGCATTTCAGAATAATCTTGAATCACATGCTATGGAAAATTTTTAAGTTACTCTTTTTTTTGGTCTTTTTGAGACAGGGTCTCCCTACAGCCCCAGCTGGCCTGGAACTCACTATGGAGACCAGGCTGGCCTTGAACTCACAGCATTTGCTTGCCTCTGCCTCCCGAGTGCTGGGACTAAAGGTGTGTGCTACCATGCCTGGCCAGACTTTAAAATTTATTTTGTATGCATGTTTATGTATGTGTATGGGCAAGTACATGATGTAGAGCGTATGTGGCCATCAGAGGACAACTTGCTGGAGTTGGTTCTCTGCTTCCACCACATAGGTCAAGGGATTGAACTCAAGTTGTCAGAATTAGTAGTAGGCACCTTTATTTGTTATTTGTTAAAATTTGTGTGCGTGCGTGCATGCGTGTGCGTGCGTGTGTGTGTATTCCACATATGTGTGGATGCCTTTGGCAGTCAGAAGACTACATCAGATTTTTGGAGCTGGAGTTAACAGGTGGCTATGAGCTGCTTTATATGAGTTCTGGGAACTGAACTCTACAAGAGCAGTACCACTAACTGCTGAGCTATCTCTCCGGCCCTGGGATTGGTGTTTGTTTTTATTTTTAAAGGTGGGCCAGCAAGATGTCTTGGGGAGTAAAACATTTGCCATGCAAGCTTCATAACCTGAGTTCGATCTTTGAAACTCATAAAGGTGGAAGAAGAGAACAGATTTCAACAGTTTTCCTCTGATCTCCACATGGTCACTATAGCATGCCCATACACACAATCATGCATATACACAACAGCAAATAAACATTAGAAAAACAAACAAACAAACAGCAATTTGGTGTTACTTCTAATTAATCCCATAAATCATCTAGAGAGTAAAAATGGTATATATATAAAATATCAACATGAACTCATTTCTAAAAGAATATTTAATTATACCTAAACTTGTTTTTATATGTATTGTTTTGTTTTGTTTTGTTTTTAAACCCCCGAGGGGCTGCACCATTCCTGGAGGTACTGCAATACCCGGTCGATGTGTGAAGTGAACAAGCAAGCTCCTAGTCTAACTCCTAATTCCAAAAATCCATTTACTATATTGTCCTGCGATAGAGGACATATCAGATATTAAACTGATAAGAACAGATACTACACTTGACTTAGCCAAAAGGCTGAGAAGTGATTGTTTTTATATATGTACAAATAAATAAGTCTTTTTGTTTGTTTTTTGGCCTTTTTGAGACAGGGTCTCCCAGTAGCCCCAGCTAGCCTTGAACTCACAGAGCTCTGCCTACCTCTGTCTCTAGAGTGCTGGAATTGAAGGCATGTGCCAGGGGCCTGGCTGTACAAAAGTAGTTAAGTATGTTCACTCATAACCCCCGATTCAGTGCTTAATTTAGTAAAACCATCTGTGGAAGGGGTAACAGGACTGACTCCAGGTTGTGCTAATGATTAAAGGGTGTCAGTAAGTGCCTTGAACACTTAAATAGTCCTGCCTTGATCTGGAGAGGTGACTCAGCAGTTAAAAGGGCTGGCTGCTTTTGCAGTAGACCTGGGTTTGGTTCCCAGCACCCACATGGCAGCTAACAACTATCAGTAACTCCAGTTTTAGGAGATCTGACTCCCTCTCCTGGCCTGCTCTTCTGAGCATTGCACACACAAGTGTACTTACATACATGCAGCAAAAACATTCATAGATATAAAATAAAAATTAAAACAAATAGTCCTACCCCACATTACATGCATAGATACAGACCACTGAACCCCTCTTCAGGGGTGGAACTTTAAACCTGCACAGAAGGAGTCTGGGTAGAAGTGGAAAGAGCTGGCAGGGGGGTGATGCTGAATGTGGAGAGTGGTACTCCAGTGGAGAGAAGGGCACACAAGCCAAGTATGGCTTTGAACCTGTGAGACCCATGAACCACAGCCCCCAATAGAAAGCAAAGGTAAAGGTACTAACCAAATCTATCAGTATCTTAAAGGCTTCTTGTGGGTTGTCCTGGGCTTCAGCCCTCTTAGAACTGTTTTCTGAAGGGAATATATCCAGCAGTTTCTGCCCTAAGGTCTTCTTACACCTTTGTGATGGAGATCCTAAAATTTCACAGGAAAATCCAGCTGAGAACAATATACTGATGTTAATTCCAGTAAAAGGACTGTGAACCAGGACTAATTTAATTCCTAAATCAGTCCAGAGGTGGTTCTTTTCGTGAGACCCAGAGACCAGTGAGCCTGCAGCACAATGTAGGGGGAAAGCATGGATTTCAGAGCCAGGGCCACGTGCTTGTGCCAGGACCCCTGTGAAAAACCCAGTGATCAGTTGGTGGCTGTGTGGGAATACAGTCTGTGTCCCTAGGTCATCACAGTCTTTAGGAGCAGCAGAAGTCCAGGTTTGTATGTGGAATTACCCAATTTTAAATGACATCCCCTAACCACATTATTTGAAAACATAGTACAAGCCTGACAAAGTTTCAGCAGGTCACAGAAGCCTCTGAATCCATGCAAATGGCTTAGAGCCAGGAAAGCCTGCACAAGATCCTCATCTTAATATATGCTGACCCTTATACAAAGTACATAATTTGTAGAAAAAGCCTGTTGTGATGGCACAAAATTATAATCCCAGCACTTGGGAGGCAGAGGCTGGAGGACTGAAAGTGTGATGTCAGCTTGGGCTATATAGTAAGTTCAAGGCAGCCTGGGCTGTGTAGTAAGTCCCTGTTTCAAAAACAAAACATCAGTAGCTTGGCTAGATGGCACATGTCTTTAATCCCAGCACTCAGGAGTCAGAAACAGGCAGATCTCTGTGAGATCAAGGCCAGCCTGGCATCCATAGTGAGTGCCAGACCAGCTTGGGCTATAAGGAGACCCTGTCTCAAAAATCAAAAACTAAAAACAACAACAACAAAAAACCCACAACAGTAAAAAGTACAAATTTGGAAATTACACAAAGGAAACTTCAAGAATGCTTTTGGAATTATCTTGCAAGTGACCTTAGAGTAAACCTCTGAGATCTTGCTGTACTTGGGGCTCAGACCACACTGTCTTGAGGGGAACTGTGGCAAAGGGCAAAAGCCAGATGCCCATCTTTTGGCCTGCAAGCAAAACACTCAGAAACATATAAAAATTTCACTATTTCTACCTCAGCTTCCTGAGTTGTCTGAATAGTCATGTACCCTCATGCTTGATGCTTCATAGATGCTAATTTTTAAAAAAATTGCATCTATGTGTGCATGATATATGTATAGGCATGCATGCCATGGCTTCTGTGCATGTGGAGGTCAGAGGACAACTCTGTGGAGTCAGTTCTCACCTTCCACCTTTATGTGGGTCCTAGGGATCACACTTAGTTACCAGGCTTGCATAGAAAACACTTTATACAATGAGCCATCTCCACAGCCTGATAATTGAGTTTTGATTTCATTATGTTGCCCTGACTGGCCTGGAACTTGCTATGTAGACTCACATAAAGATCCACCTGCCTCTGGCTCCTGAGTGCTGGGATTAAAGGTGAATGCCACGATGCCAGGTCATATTGCTAAATTTTCTAAATAATTACATGTGAAATTTCAACTATATCTCTTTCCCATTGGATTAAGCATGCTTCATCAACTTTGATTATATCCAAAACCAACTAAAATGACACCCAGTTCTTGTCCCGTGCCTCATCATTACCGTCCTCTTTAAGGTACTTCCCACTGATCCAGCTTGCCGCTCTTTTACCCATCTTATCCACTTGGGCCAGTCTTAGTGCCTGGTCATTTTTCCTCATTAATTGTTGCTCAAACGCAATTCTGAATGCATCTGCCATTATGTGAGCTTCCTCTTTACTCTTCTGCAAAAGTTCCAGCTGGTTTTGAAAGAAAATTTAGGAGGTGTCAGAGGCAAAACCAGAATAATTCCTGCCTGAATCCTAAATCAGATTAACATATTGCAGTCTCTGTGTCCACTGCCTGTATTCTACCAAGTCCATCTGCTTAAACCAGTATCTGCCTATTCTAGCAGCATGCTGGTCTGGATTGCCAGCAATTTTCCTTGTGTCTATCTACACCCTGCCAGTCCAACTCATGAAACTCATTGCCCTACCTCGGCCCTGTATGTGCCCTGCACTGGAGAAGGGCACAGCCAGAAAGAAGAGAGGATACCAAAGGCTGCATTACAATTTGGCCTTGGGCCCCTTAGATGATACTCTCAAATAGCTTTTCATACCTTTCATAACTGAACTTGAGTCCAATCTATGATTTTTTTTTCTTTTGAGACAGGGTCTCTTTGTAGCCCCAGCTGGCCTGGAACTCACTATGTAGACCAAGGTAGCTTTGAACTCACAGAGATCTGCCTGCCTCTGCCTCCCAAGTGCTGGGATTAAAGGCATGCACCACTACGCCCAGTGAAATTTTAATCCTTTTCTTAATGGATAGTTAACGTTTGGCTGCTAGATTTCCTATGTGGTATAAAGGCTTTAAATTCCATACCTTCAAATAAGGTAAAACATTTTAGGATTGGTGTTGTGGCATACACCTTTAATCCCAACAGAGGCAGGTAGATCTCTGAGTTTGAGGGCAGCCTGCTGTACATAGTGAATTCAAGGTCAGCCAGAGCTACATAGAAGATCCTGTCTTGAATAAATAAATGAATAAATAATCATTTTTAGAATTATACCAAATCACAAATTGGTTTACAAAAATAATCGTATTTGTTGTTAAAGTTCAATTATAAGGGAAGCTTTCAGTAGATTAAACACCTGGCGCACCCATGCTAAACATTACATGTCTATTGTCCTTATTCTTTTTTGGTAGTCTCTTATTTTTAGTTTATATGTATGAGCATATTGCTTGATATATTTAAGTGCATCTGTGTTGTGCAATGCCCCAAGGAGGTCAGAAGAGGGTATCGAATCTCCTAGAACTAGATTTATGCACAGTTGTTAGCCACCGTGTGGGTGCTGGGCACAGAACCCAGGTCCTCTGTAAGAATGGCCAGTGCTCTTAACCACTCAGCCATCTCTCCAGCCCCCTATTTCCCTTATTCTTGCAGCAACCCTCTAAGGTAGTGATTATCCTCCTTTTAACATATGAGAAAACTGAGATGTATCCTGCCCACAGACACAGTAAATGACAGTGTTGAAGTGCATGCCTAGTCAGGCAGCATAAGGGCTCCTTTCATTTTCAAACAAGCTCTATGTTCACCTCTCCAGTAACCAGTGTTAATATTAGTGATTGTCGGTATAAACGCACCTTTTCCCTCTATCACACAGTGATTTTTCAGACCATGCATAAATGAGGAAAATATGAATTTAGGAAATATTAATTATGAACATAAAACTTTACATGACTTCAGATATCATGCAATGTGCTATTTGTATTTTGGAACCAGGTAAACAAAAGAATAGCATATAAGTTAATGCTATAACATAAAACTAAGCCTAAGTTCCACACCAATAACTCCTAAGGTGAAATAAAGTGTTGTAGATACCTCCATTTATTCTACTATTAATAAAGAAACAGAACCAATGCTTCTGCTGTCCTGCTGATGTGATAAATACCTTGTGTCTGAGCTGAAGAACCAGCTTCCGAGTAGATGCTGCCATTTTGGCACAAGAGCAGGGGCTCCCTCCAGGACCATGACACAGGCAGGCTCCGAGGACTGCAAGCTTGAAACCAAAAGCATTACCTCTGTTATCAAAGGTCATGCTGCCTGGGCTGCACACAAACACAGGGCACCCACACAGCCAAGTACAGCATTATTCAAGCCTCTGACCATAGAAAGTGGAAAGGAAACCGATTTTAGGATCAAAGCGGGAATTACCATAAATGAGAAGTCATCACTTGCAACAAAAACTTCTACCTTCATTCTTCTCACTCTGAAACCTTTAATCCTGGCGTCAATCTCTGACTAAGTGTGCAGCCAGAATTAGCCTAATCAGCTAACATCAGTGTAGATTCCTGTGTGGAGCTTGGCCCTTATGCCCAGCATTCACTCTGAGGTCCACTTCCCTCCAAGGAGATGGTGTGCTCAGAAACGAACAGTGAATTTTAACCTGTCCCCAAGGAAAGCAGTCCTCCTCTGTAATCATGCATGTATTCTTAAATATTTTGGGGCTGATGACTATTATGGAATTATCTGTAACCCTGGTCCCTCAAAACTTGACTATGGATCAATCAGAGTGAAGAAAACAGGGTCACTCCTGGTTGACCACTGTCAGTGGAGGAAGAGTAAGAACCTTACTTTCATTTTGAAGCCATTTTAGCAGCTAGACACAACTTACTTTCCCAACATATACCAAAAACTTAATTCAACAAGAGCAGTCTATGTAACATTGTAACACACATTTTAAAGTTTCATATGAAACTTTGTCCAGCCAGGCAGGGTGGCATACACCTATAATCCTAGCATTTAGAAATCTGAGGCAAGAGGATCCCAAGTTCAAGGCCAGACTGGTTTATATAGCACCAGCCTGTCTTCAAAACAAAATGAAGAAGCTTAGACTACATATATATATGAGCATATTGCTTGCATATATTTAAGTGCATCTGTGTTGTGCAATGCCCCAAGGAGGTCAGAAGAGGGTATCGAATCCCCTAGAACTGGATTTATGCACAGTTGTTAGCCACCATGTGGGTGCTGGGCATAGAACCCAGGTCCTTTACTATAGGCTATTTCAAAAGAATTCCTTCTCACATCAGAGATAACTGTGCAGCACATAGCTGTCAGTTGAACTGAGTGGGCATGCAGTGGTATGTGGTACCGTCTCCCTTTGCATGTCCCTGCTCCTGAGAATACTTCTTGCCAAAGAGGCGAAGTACAACACGGACCTGGAAGGGCCCAACATAAAAATGGAAGCTTTCAGGCCGGTACTTGGGAGGCTGAGGCAGAGGATCAATGCAAGTATGAGGCCAGCCATCTATATACTGAGTGAGTTCCAGGCTGCCAGGGCTAAGAAACCCTGTTTAAAAGCAAAAACAAAACAAAAACAGTGAAAAACAAGGTTTGGGCCAGGACCTCTGAATCCAGCTTCCACATCCTTGTCCTGCACTCCTTCCTCAGCTGGGCCAGGCCCTTGTTTCTGCCTGGCCTAAGAAAGGAAAGTAGGCAATGCCCCTCCACTCCAGCTTTCATACATAGACACATACCTCAAGACTTGATACCTCTGTAAAGCCGCTTTCGTCCTGACCCATGTTTTCCTGAGCCATCTTCTGCTGTTTGATATCAAGCATGGCGAGTGTCTCCAAGTACCGCTGATTCAAAACTAGGAAGGGCCACACATGACAATGTTAGTTCTAAGGCCAGCTGCAGCCTCCTTATCCAGTTACACCAATATCATACATTAATTTCTTCTAAGCAACACACACATCAGATATTGGATATGTTCATGTGAATGAAGGTGCCCATGGAGGCCAGAGGGGTTGGATCCCCCTCGAGCCACAGGCAACGTTAAGTCTCCCAAAGTGGGTACTGGGAACTGATTTGGGTCCTCTGGAAGACCAGTAGGTGCTCTTAACTGCTGAGCCATATTTTCGGTCCCAGGATTTTTTTTTAAAAAGTAAATATGTAAGGGAAATTATTCAGAGACTGTAGACAGTGAGAAGACTGGGCAGTGAAATCTATACTGTGTTCATGTCAAATGTACCAGTTATCCTAACTCTACAGATATTTCTATTAAGAGTTTTCATGAGGCTGGAGAGATGGCTCAGCAGTTAAGAGCACTTGCTCTTGCAGAGAACCAGAATTCAGTTCCCAGCACCTACACTGGGCGGCTCACAACCATCTGAAACTCCAATTCTAGGGGACTTGATGCCTTCTGGCCTCCACTTGCATGCACATGGTTCACATATTCAGGCACACACACATAAAATAAAACTAGAGACTAGAGAGATGGCTCAGCGGTTAAGAGGTTACACTTGCAGAGGACCTGGGTTAGGTTCCCAGCACCACATGGCAGATAACTGTCTGTAACTCCAGTTCCAAGGGATCTGATGCCCTCTTCTGCCCTCCTCGGGCATTGTATAACAGGGGTGTACTTACATACATGCAAGCAATACACTCATACACATTAAAAAAAATTTTAACTCTAAGTAAAACTAACAAAATACATCTTTAAAAGTTTTCATAAGAAATTCTCTGCCCACATTAAAATGACAGGGATCCTGCTATCTACCAGACAGCAGAAAGTATCTGTTCGGCCATGTGAGTGTCAGGGTAGAAGGCAAGGGCTTATGATTCTGGCAGCTTCTGCCCTGAGCTAATCCAACACAAGCAACAGCTCTGTGCGTGCCACAGCCCATCACATACACATCTATGTGTCCAGATCTCATTTTAGAGGTGCGCAGTTCTGTTACACATACACACAAAAGAGCCCCTCCTCAGCTACAGGATCCGACTTGGGAATTGAGGTTTTGTTCCCTTCAAACTGTCACTTAGCTTCTCCTGAGGAGGGAGGATTCGCATCTTCTCTTAAAAATGTGTAAGAAAAATTAATGGCACCATAGTTTATACCAACTTTCATCATAAGGTGCTTCATTATATAGAGGATATGCACCACATAAATTTTATATGTGAGTATACACACACACGCATGCGTGCACACACAATTTTAACTTAGGTTCCTCAAGCATCGTGCTCTACTACCACTTTATTTTGCATTTCTGAGACAGGGTCTCAGTCTGTAGCCTTGTTAGCCTAGAACTATGAGCTTGTGCTGGCCTCAAACTCATGGCAATCCTCTTGCTTCAGCCTCACTAATGATGGGATTACAGGTTTTGCACCCCCATGCCTAGTGCTTTATATTGAAACTGAGTCAAGGGGGAAAGGAGGAAACTGCTTCAGAGTGCGGGAAATACTTTGGAAGCAGATGACAGTGGAAATTACACAGTGTTGTCAATGACATTGCATGACTCATTTTTAACAATTAAAACATTTTAACATTGCCAGGCATGATGGCATACACTTTTAATCCTAACACTTGGGAGGCAGGAGAGACAAACGGATCTCTGTGAATTTCTAAGCCAGCTGGGGCTACAGGAAGACCCTGTCTCCAAAACAACAAAAAATAAAACAAATGGTTAATTTTATATTGTATGGATTTCACTTTGATAATTTTCCTTATTTGAAAAAAACTAAGTAATGCATTTCTTCCATTTATTTTCTTTAAATTATATTATTTCAAAATACTAGTACTTTGTATTGTTAAGTGTAATACACTTAAATAAATAAATAAAATTATCTTTAAACATAATATTTTAGCCAGGTGTGGTGATGCATGTCTTTAATCTCAGCACTTGGGAGGCAAAGGCAGGTAGTTCTCTGTGAGTTTTGGGACAGCCTGGTCTACAAAGTGAGGTCAGGTTAGCTGCAACATGAGACTATCTCGAAAAAAACAACAAAACAAACTCCCCACAAAATACGTAATATTTTTAAAGACCCACTTAAATACATTACTCACCAGCATTTTCAGACTTGAGCATTTTAATTTCTTCTGTTTTCACTTTCAAATTCTCTTTGAGGACTGCATTGTCACAGTTTAGTCTGGAAAAAATCAAGACTAAGCAACTAAAATATTAACACTTCTTCACTAAATGAAAACATTATTTCCATAATTTATTACATTTAAAATTGTATTTCTGTATGTATGCAACGGGAGAGGGGCATGCACAGGCGCCATGGTGCAGGTGTAGAGGTCAAAGGAAAACTCAAGGGAATTGGCTCTTTCCTTCCACCCTATGGGTGCCAGGGATCAAATGCAGGTCATGAGGCTTGGTGGCAAGTATCTTTACCATTGAACCATCTCATCAGCCTTCTAAATATAGTCTTAAATATTTTTTTAAATTAAAAAAAATATTTTATTTATTATTTTTATTTTATGTGTATGAGTATATTGCCTGCATGTATGTGAGTGCACCCGTGTCATGCAATGCCACAGAGGTGAGAAGAGGGCTTCGGATTCCCCTGGAACTGGAGTTAAGGACGGTTTGTAGCTGCCATGTGGGTGCTGGGAATCAAACTTGGGTCCTCTGCAAGAGTAGTCAGTGCTCTTAACTGCTGAGCCATATATCTTCAGCAAATTCACCCCAACACCTCCCCTTAACTCCTCCAAAATTCACCCTCATTTCCCTACCCACCCAACTTCATGTCCTTTTTTTAAAAAAATTAGTAACTCATCAATTTTAATCTGTGCTGTTCATATACTTCTGGGTGTTGGGCCATCCACTAGAGTGTGGTTGACCTACCAGGAACCACACTCTTAAAGAAAACTGACTCTTCCTCCTCCAGAAACCATGAACTGTCCATAGCTTCTCAGTCAGGGATGGGAGCTCATGAACTCCTTCCCGCTCCATGATAGAATGCTGAGTGGCTTGATCTTGTGTAGGTCTTGCTCAGGCGACCACAGCTGCTGCAAGGTCATGAGTGCACTGGTCCTGTCTTGTCAAGAAGGCACTGTTCTTCCTAGGTCCTCCCAGACCTCTGTCTTTTACAATCTTTCTGCTCCCTCTCCCATCATGGTCCCTGAGCCTTGCAGAGGGGTGTGATAAAGGTATCTACCTTGTTTTTGGTTGAGTACTCCAGAGCCATTCTTCTCTGCACTTTGACAAGTTGTGAGTTTCTGCATTAACCACCATCCACTGTACAAAAACTTCCCTGATGAAGTCTGAGAGTAACACTAATTCAGGAAAGATGCTGGCACCAGGACACCAGAGGCTGTGCAGCCCAGGAAAGCAAAGGGAGGTGAGGGTGGGACCGGTCTTAAATCTTTTGTATACTTAGTTGAGAAAGAATCAGAATCAGAATTCACATTAATTCTAATTCTCCACATTAATAAAAAATTTTAAATATTTTATTTTTAAATATTTTATTTTATTATTTTATTTTATGTGTATGAGTATATTGCCTGCATCTGTGTGAGTGCACACATGTCATGCAGTGCCACAGAGGTCAGAAGAGGGCTTCAGATTCCCGTGGAACTGGAGTTAGAAGTTAGAAGGAGGTGTTGGATCCTCTGGAACTGGAGTCAGGAATGGTTGTTAGGTGCCATGTGGATGCTGGGAACCAAACCTGGGTCCTCTGCAAGAGCAGCCAGTGCTCTTAACTGCTGAGCCACCTCTCCAACCCCATATATTAATAAATTTTTAATTCAATTTAATAACCATTTGGATACTTAACTCTGCTTAGGCCATCTTAGAAAACATTCATCAAAGAAAAGTCCTCGTGAAAGCTGTGGATGTTGGTCAGTGCTTATGTCACTGTAAGTTATGGATTATAACCACTGGAACACTCTGGTTGATAACAGTGATGCTATACAGGAGGGGCACATGACAAATCCTCATTCCTCCTGCTCAGTTTTGCTTTAACTTTAGAAAAAATATGTCATAAAGCAAAGTGAAACAAAAGGCCTTAATTGGGAAGAGAGAGACAGAGACAGAGAGAATTCCCATGTTTATATCACCATTATTCAAAATAGCTATATAGCAAAAGCAAACCCAGGGGCCATCAAGGGTTGAAGGAGTAAACAAATGAGGAGACACAGAATGGAATAGTCTTCAATCTTGGAGAGAAATTCTGAAGCACACTATAACATGGATAAACCTTGGACACTTAAAAGGACTGTATGATTCTGTAAATCTGAGGTACCCAGAGTGGTCAAATTCATAGTCAAGAAATAGAATAGTGGTTGTCAGGGGCTTCGGTCAGTGGGAGTTGTGGTTTAATAGTGCTCTGGATGGATGCTGGTGATGGGATTCTCTCTGTGGTTTTTTGTTGATTTGTCTCAAGTACCCTGTGATGGCCTTGAACTCCCTAGGTAGCTGAGGATGATCTTGAACATCTGACCCTCCTGCCTCCACCTGCCTAATGACCTGGGTTTGATCCTCAGGACCCACACTGTGGAAGGAGAGAGTCAACGTCTACAAGTTGTCCTCTGATAACCACACACACCATGGCATATATCCCTCTTCCCTTCAATTAGTAAATGTAATATTTTAGAATTTTTATTTAAGAAAATTTTTATTATGTGTATATATGTGTGTCTGTGTGTGGGTATGTGCACATGAGTACAGGTGCCTACAGAGGCCAGGTGCTGGATTCCCCAGGAGCTGGAGTTACAGGCAGCTGTGAGCAGCCCAGCATAGTTGCTGAGAATTGAACTCAAGTTCTCTGAAAGAGCGATACCACATGCTCTTAACTACTGAACTGTTTCCAGCTCTAATGAATGTAATTAAAAAAATACTTATCAAGACCTTTAATGACAATGTTTGTTGAAATAGTTATATACTCTACCACAGACTGATCTTAGATAATTTTAAAGAATGATCATTCTTGGCTGGAGAGACAGCTCAGCAAACAAGAGCACTGGCTGTTCTTGTAAAGGACTCAGTGTTTGACTCCCAGCACCCACATAATGGCTAACAACCATGCATAACTCCAGTTCCAGAGGAATCCAACACCTTCCTCTGACCTCTGTAGGCACTGCACGACATGGGTGCACTTACACACATGCAGGCAATATACTCCTACACATAAAATAAAAATAATAAATAAAATATTTTAAAATGATCATGAAAAGGGTTTAGGTTATAGCTCAGTTGGTAGAGTTCTTGCCTAGTGTCTACAAAGCCCTGGATTTGATCTCCAGCACCACATAAGCTAGGTATAGTGGTGCATGCCTGTAATTCCAGCACTCAGGAGGTAGAGGCAGGAGGATCCAAATTTCAAGGTCATTTTTGGCTACATAATGAGCTCCATACCAGCCTGGGTTACAAAAGGTCCTGTCTCAAGTAAATAAACATATTAACATGAGATTAAAGTTTCTCAAATGAATGTGAAATGTAGGGCCAGTAAGGTATTTGCCATCTTGAGTTCAATCCCCAGGATCCATATGGTAGAAGATGAGAACCAACTTCCACAAGTTGTCCTCTGACCTCACAAACAAGCCATGGCAGTAGCCTTGCACAAAAACTAGTTTTAAAAAATGTAGGACTGGAGAGATGGCTCAGAGGTTAAGAGCACTGACTGCTCTTGCAGAGGACCCAGGTTTGAGTCCCAGCTACCCACATGGCTACTAACCATCCTTAACTCCAATTCCAGGGGAATCTGAAGCCCTCTTCTGACCTCCACAGCATTGCACGACACAGGTGCACTCACATACATTCAGGCCATACACTCATACACATAAAAATAATAAATAGAAGCCGGGCGTGGTGGCGCACGCCTGTAGTCCCAGCACTTGGGAGGCAG